TAATAATAATAATCAAATAATAATCAATTAATCATGAAGGCACAGTGAGTAAAGTGGAGTAAAAGCAATTAACACAGTATTAAACAATATTTAATAATATTTTGCAATATTACAACACAAGATATAAGTTTATTAAAATATAAAATATAAAGTTTTTTTTTAAAAGTAAAGTATAATTTAGTAATAGAAATATTATCATGTATTAGGATGTCTATTTTACTGTTCCTGAAGTAAGTTTACTTTACTATCTAATAATAATTAAAATATTTTGAATTATTCCATAATAATAAGTATTAATTAATTAATTAACTGGTACAATTTCTTGTCTCTCTCCTCTTTTTTAAACTTACACCTAACAACAGTTGTATTTATACTTTCTCTTTTATTTACACTTTATCCTTCATCTTTGTACTTCATCTTTCATCCTCATACGGTCATCTCACCTGGGATAACAATTATCTGAATGTTTATCTAGTACCACAAATTATCATCCTCTGTGACATTTCACCTAATTACTAATTTGTGTCACCACAAATATTTCCTCCTTCAAAAGGAAACTCTTGCGACCCAACATCCATTCTAAAAGATCTTTTATTAATTGTGCACCTATTGTTTTACCTAGTCGTTGAAACCTTTTAAACTCCGATTTAGGTAGTTTATAGATCCAATCTGACATAACATTTTGAAAACTTCTGGCATATGGTATTCCTATTTCTCAAATAATAGTTGTACTCTGTTACTATTTGATAAATTCGTGCTCCATTTTGATGAGATTGTTTATGTAATTCTCTTTTTAATGCTATCACAGTACTTCTTAATAAAGCATCTTGCAAATAATCACCAATCTTCTTATATGCACTTATTCTTTGTCTATTTGTACCATGTGTATTCATAACTATTTGCAAAAGACCATCTAAGTCATGATCAAAGGCTTGATCTAGTTCTTCTGGAGCCATGAAAATATCCGTCACATAAATTTTTAATATATTATTATATTGTGTTATAATTTCATTATTAATAGGTTGATCAATTTCTGTTATGACATTTTCTGTTATCAAATATGCGCAGTACTGTCTATAATAATTTGTGTTTCTTCTTAAATTTTCAAAAATTCTCTATATAGTTCATAAACCTTTTTTCTTAAATTATTTGAAATTGGGATATAATTTATAATAATAAAAAAAATTTTAATAAAAATTTTTAAGA